TGCCTCCTGATATGCCAGAAGCCCTTGGACGAGCGGTAAAGATTGTGATGTTTGTTGATGCCTCACATGCTTCCAATCTTGTTACACGTCAATCCAGAACAGGTGTTCTTATCCTCTTAAATCATGCACCGATCGTTTGGTATTCGAAGAAGCAGAATGCTGTCGAAACAAGTTCTTTTGGAAGTGAATTTGCTGCATTGAAGACTGGTGTTGAACTGGTTGAAGGTCTAGTATACAAATTGCAAATGATGGGCGTACCAATTGATGGCCATTGCCATACTCTTGTTGATAACAACTCTGTTGTGATGAACGCAAGTCGCCCGGAATCTGTCTTGAAGAAGAAAAGCAATTCTGTTGCTTATCACTATGTTCGTTCAAAATGTGCAAGCGATCTTATTCGAGTTGCTTGGGAAGGAACCAAAACAAATCTTGCCGATATGTTAACAAAGATTCATACTGGTAGAGAACGTGCTCGTCTGGTGGAACTTATTATGTATGAAGAAGACAAAATTCCGAGAGTGGTACAATCTGCGATCAAAGCTCTAAATGTGCTTTTTGGTCTGCCTCCACACTAAAGCCGATGAATCGCCTTTGCTTTCAGTGGGCATGGTCATCCTTGGACTGTGTCGGCTTGGGCGTCCTCCACGAGAGGTACACTGCATTTTATGTTATTGTTACAATGTTTCTTGATTCCTGTATCAAGTCAACATTGAGGGGACCATTATTTTGGGAAGTACGTGGTCTGTCCTCCGTACGTGTAGTTTTGTAGTCTGAAAGAATCTGGTAGTCACAAGTTATATTTCGTCCAGTAATTGATCTGTTTTGGCTGACTAGCAGCGCATTTTAACGGTTCTATCTATTGTTGATGAAAAAATCGCAAAAACATCAATTTCAATTTTACATATTATGGTCGTGAATTGCGGTGATCGATATACCGTTATATATAGCGGTCATATCTATAAGCCCCTCTTATTTTTTATCCATCTGTACCCATTTGTCCAAATGAAAAGCCTAACACAGCAACAACAACATGGAAGATGAAGATGCGGTCGATGTGGATGAAAATATTCAGCCATTGTCGACTGCATTCGTCGCTGTTCTCTATGGCAAGGCTCTTATCAATTTAGTGGCTTCGTTTGTCTGCTTCTTCTTCATCGCCGCCATGCTTTCCAAGCCAACCATTCGCAACAATTCCTACAATCTTTACGTGGTCTTTATGATTTTCCCAGACGGCATCAATACCTTATTCAGAGTGCTGACAAACATGTTCCTCGGTTTGAACCGCGGAGTTCATTGGTATCCGCCAGGCTTTTACTATCTTGATTTGTTCTTCTGGATGTTCTACTACACATGCAACTTCTACCTCAACGTCTTTGTGACTTTTGAGATCAACAAACTCGTGGAACATTGTCATCGCGGGAGACGGATACCAGTTCTGAAGCTTCAGAGAACTCGCAGGCAAATCGCCGGGGTCTATTTTTTCTCAGCATGCATTGCCTCTTTGATGGTGCTGCCTGTTCCATTTGCCCTCTATCATATTACAGATGATCGAAGAGGGAAAGGTAAAAGTGGTAGCGGGCCAAATGGATGGTACAGCTTTGATGTCGCCACCTATATTTTTCTCCTCATAATGGCAGTTCCTGTGTCCTTTGTTTTCCTCGTAGCAGTACGAATGTGGATTAAGAAGCTGCTTCCGAAGAGGGGACGACTGCGGGTGCTGACTTTGTTCTTCTTGAGGGTCATCATTCTCTTTTCAGTCTTCTATATTCCAGTCATATTATTGACATCCAAGCGAAATAATATGGAAGATGAGTATTCCGGTGGAGCCCTTGCATTGGACACCGTATTGGGAGTCTTGGCAGCTTTTCAGGCTCTTACAACCTTGTACATGATCTGGCTCAAGTATGACATCCGAGTTGCCGTCAAAGAAACCTGGAACAAAACCTTTGGCCGTTTATGTTGCCGTTGTACCTCTGTTGACCGGAGTGGTGCAGGCGAGGTACATATTAGTGGAATGTTCCAGGCAAAGAAAAAATCGCGTGATCAACCGCAACATCCTGTTTCGCCTCTGCCCCAGAAAAAATCGTCGCTCATTCAGAAAATCAAAGATGCATGTTCTGTAGATGATGATTTTGGAATGCCATTCCAAGAGTCAGATGCAGAAGGAGGAGAGCAGAATGATGCGCAAGATGATTCGCCTAAACGTTCATGTTCCGAAGATGAGAATTGTAGTTTGCCTTTGCAAGAGGAGAAGGGTGGGTCGTCCATCGTCGAGCAGATCCAAAGTGCATGGTCTGAAGATGATCATGACCATGACATTTCACAACGCCAAGAAGGTACCTTATCAGAACTGCCCTCAGGCGATCTTGAGAAGCAACCAGAGATAAAGGAACTTGAAGAGAAGACCGAGACCAGCACGACCAATCGAATAAGGTCACCGGAAAGCTTGCATGGTGAAGTACAATCAGAATATTCTGTATGAGCGTGGAGGTCCTAAAACAAAAAATCAGCGACTTTTTAAAATCGTCTCGAAACGGATGGGTGATGACGGTGAACGAGATGGCAGTAAGGATGTTGACAACCAGTTATCCTCCAAATTTCGCTGATTCCACAAGCTCAATGATATCTTGTACGAATAAGGCAACTGGTGTTTTGGCTTATTCCTACGAAAGAGAGACATATTCAATATTCTTGCGATGGCAGGTTTATATATCTTGTGGGAAAATAACTATGAAAATACGGGGAGACAAAAACACTTATTTGGCGGTCCAAAAGGAGAAGAGTACCGTACCATCTCCGTCCAAGACCTTGGTCGCAGCACAATGCTGGCACAATGCTGATGACTACTACTGGCGCCGAGGACTGCTGCCTGAATAAACAAAGCAATCATTCTTCAATCAGAATCTGTTCATGGCTCCTTCTGTAGAGCCAACTTTTGGAGCTGCTTAAAAGTTATATGAATACAAGTTGAAAGTCGATATATACTGCAGTGTTCTAATACACATTGTGGATGAGAGTAGAAGCGTAGCAATATACACGTGCATCATATACCACGTGCATGGTACCCTGGTACTTTATCAGTCCTTATGAAATTGTTCCCCCAGTCTCCGGATCTCCCGTGCTTCGCCAATTTTGTTTCAGAAAAATTGGCATCATCATCATCATCGATAATATATACATCCTATTCTACTCTCCCACCGCACCCTATACTTCTCGTTTTCCCTCGTGCCCATCCCTGATAATACTGCAGACGTTACTGATATAGCGGACACATGATGTCTCGTCGAATAACTTCCAAAGAAAGTTCCAGCAGAGGCCAGGCTCATGTCGAAACGATCAGAAGGAGCGCTTCGAAGGAAAAGAAAGTGCACGGTCAGCACTCGCTATTTGGAGGGAGCGCTACGAGAAAATTGCTTGTGGCTAGATACTATCTCGAACGAAAATCAAGGTCATTGCTATTGATTGCCCTATGTCTGGCAGTTCTTGTTCTACTAATGACAGGAAAGACATTGGATGAGGCAGCAACCATCCCATTCTCGTCGTTTTTACTGTTACGGAATAAGGAACCATCTGTCATCCAACGAATAGACTTCACCTTTCACAAGCCTCGCACTCTTGAAATAAGCTCTGACTTACTTGACACCATCAACAATATCACATCTTTACGGGACCCCATCCTTGGGTATAATACCAACGATACCATTGAAGTTTCTCCCGCTCATGAAAAATTCAAAGAACATTTGGAGAATAGTAAGAGGTACAACCGATGGCAAAGAGATCCAATAAGGACGGAAGAGTGTGAACCGATGCACCCGTGGCAAGAAACATTATTTCCTTCCTGTTTGGATTTCCATGCCATGGACCTCCAAAAAGATCTCCGTGCAATAACCGATGGAGGGTACAATAGTGTCTTCAGAATCACGGATATTGATGGATCCCATCACATTATGAAGATTCTCAAGTATGGTGACACAAAGCATACCGATCGCAACTTTGACCGGGTACGCCGTGATTCCCTCGTCATGGAACGGGCAACTGGTTCGCCCTATGTCATGGATATTTACGGTTATTGTGGCTTTTCACAAGTAGTGCCAGTTGGTCGTCATGGTGATCTAAATGGCATTCTGAGAGGCTACTACGATCAACTCTCGCAAGGCCAAAAGCTGGAAATTGCCACCCAAGTTGCACAGGCTCTGGCGGACGTTCACGATTTAGACGGAGATGGGATTTCGAGCATGAGTCATGGAGACTTTGCTTCCAAGCAGTACATTTTGATTGATGGGAGATTCAAGCTGAATGACTTTAATCGAGGGCGATTCATCCGGTGGAATCCTACACTGAACGAGCCTTGCCCGTATACCATCGAAAAGAATGGTGATAAGGTGAGATTTATTGAACTATTGAACATGCATGATGGGATGATGATAACTGTACCGGTATACCTCATCTTAAAAGATTTTTCCGTTTTAGTTTCGAGCTCCAGAAGAATACAAACACGTCCCACAGACGGCGGCCATTGACGTTTGGGCGCTTGGCAGCGTCTTTGTGCAGATTGTGACAGGCCATGGGATTTGGAATAACTACGATTCAGAAGAAGCCCAGCACTACATTGTCGAAGGGATTCGATATCCAATGGACAGATCGTCAACGGATCCCATTGATCAGGTACTGTACAAGGCCATTGACATGTGTCAAGTCTACGAAGCAAAGGATCGACCCAAGGCAGGCGAAGTATTGGAATACCTGAAAGCAGAAGCCAAGCGGCTGGATGTAGAATGGGATAAGCCATTTGGGGAATAATCCACGAGCAATCAAATGGATTGTCACACAACATCGCTAAGCAAATGAAATCCTGTACCAAGTAAACCGTATGAGTAGTGTATTTGTTTCTTTTTTAAAAGTGTCAACTAGGATTAGCGCGTCACTAAATATACCAAGAAAATTTCACCCTCCACATATTCATCCATGCATTTGTAGGCAGAATATCTCATTCTTATCATATGATATGCTTTCAAGCTTTTGTAACGACGAAATTGGGGTAAGCTGAAAGCAAGAAAATGAGATGATTCTAAAACCCACTCTTCAACCATCAAACGTCCATCTCTGGAATTGTCTGCGGTATCCTTCACAAGTGCATGAGATGAGAGTAGAAAAGAAATCATCCAAGTCCTCCAGTAATGCAAATCCGTATTGTATTGTATTGCCTTCAGTCTTTCCCGACTAAAGTTCAGGTGAGTCGAAAACTCCTGCTGAGAGCAGGTGTTTCAGGATACGCATTCTACGGTATGCCCATAGACGCAAGGTGTCTTTCATTGGTTTTTCCAACATTTCTTCGACACGTTGGAGCTGGGCCTTAAGGTCGGCTTTATCCTTCTCCTTGTACTTCTCCAAGTACTTTAGTTCTTGCTCATTGCAATTGGTACCATCCAGGCCACACAGCACAGTGTCGCCATAGGATTCGACATAGTCAATCATACGCATGCGATCTCCAAGTTCAGTACACATGGCCTCTTGTGTGACCTTGGTGTACGCTCCTCCATCAGGTCCAGTTTCTTCATTGTAATAACGAATGGTAGGCCATCCACCTTGTCCCGGCATATGAGGAGCACCTCGGAACATGGGAGCATTCGCAAGGTTAACATCGCCAAATGCCACCTTTTCGTTATCTGCAAACAAGCGCGTCACGTCGTTCCACCCCGGCGCCTGTTTTCGTCATCAGCCTCATCCTTCGGACGCGATGAAGCGAACAAAGGTAGTCTTGCCAGCAGGAATACTGCTAGTCATATGGCTACTAAAATCATCTAGATTGCTGAACTTTTCCACAATGTCAAAGTGACCAGGGGAATAAAACTCTATTGGATGAATATGGAAGGATGAAAAGTGATGAGTGAGTATGGACGTGAGCGTGTGTCGATCGATTGTCTATACCTTATTGAGACCTCTTCAACTGGTACAGTACTGTAATTCTCAGCTGAACACATTCAAGATTCAAGAGACGCAAAACAAGACACGATACAAGACGCGGCTCTTCATCTTTGATTCATAACATACCTTGTCCACTAACATGGTCGAAGGAACCAGCCAAAAGGGCGGCAAGCCCAAGCACCTTCTGCCACACCATTGTTGGTTTTTTGTGTGACTTTCCGCGCTGTATATTTTGCGAAGCGAAATTTCGAAAGTAAGCGATTTTCGGAGGTTCTCGACCGACCGTTATTCTCCGTTGCGACATCTCTTCGCCAATCAGAAACTCGTCGTCAGAAGATATATGGAGGATTGGAGCATCGAGCATTTCAATGCGAATTTCAAACTCCATCATGATAGTTAGGACGTACCATAGTACCTTCCTACATCGTGAGGACTACTTGATCTACCGGTAGATGTTGGGTTCAGTCTTGACTGATATAGCCTTTTTCACTATTAAAGTACACATTAAATGATTTTAAATTTCTGGCAAGTGCCTAAACCAAAGTATGCTCTAACTCATCATCATTTGACTCCTCTTTCGCTTGTTCTTCTTCTGTTTCAGTGACAACTTCTTCCTCTGCTGACTCATCATCGTCTTTGGATTCACCGGCCTTAATTGCCCAGAAAGAAAACAGGCCACTCTTTTGTGCAGGTGGGTCAGCCGAAGGAGCTTCCGCTGGGCTTTCACTCTCGTCCTCGTCCTCATTTAGGCTTGCAACGGGTGCAATTGTTCGCTTGTTGCCATTGTTCTCCCACATTGAAAACAAATCTTTTGTGGCCACTTGAGGTTCCTCTTGTGGAGGGTCAAGTGGTCTTGAAGATTCTGATCGAAGCTGTACTGGTACCGTGCTAAGACCCAAGAGATCTCCACTCTCGACTGTTTGTTCATCGTAGGATGACTGAGACTCTTCTTCTTCATCCTCATCTTCAATAATTTCTTCTTCCACAGTTTCGTCATCATCGGACTCGTTGTTTCGAAGGTTTCCTAGAAGACGCTCAAATCTACCGAGATTGCTCTCTTTCGGCTCTTGTGGCTCGTCTGTGAACTCTTCTTCGATGGTCTCGTCGTCGACTTCTTCGTCGATACTCTCGCCTTCATCCTCGACGATTTGTTCGGTATATTCGTCCGAACCTTCCGAGACGGATTTTTCTTCTTCATCCTCTTCTTCTACTACCTCATCCTTGTATCCAATAAAGATGGGGGCCTCGTAGGATCCTGCTGGCTCCAGCTGGGGGTCTTGAGGATCTTCCAAGAAGGAAATTTGTGGAAGGTTATTCGAATCGGAATACTGTTTGCGGACAGCGTCCACGTGGCGAAGAGATTCTTCATCGTTGTAGGACATCCCATTGATGCCACTTCGCGACTCGACAACATGCAACTGCAGTGGATCATCATGAAGGAGGAATCGAGACTCGCGATGCTTCTTGAAAGCATATGAAATGACAATGGCGAGCGAGAGGAAAGCGGTGATACCAAGCAACGAGAATACCGATGCCCAGTATGACGAATGGCTGCTACTATTTGCAGGATTCTTTTTTGCCCATGGCTCGTACACAATGTCAACAGTCTTGTGGAAAGGGTTTGTCGTGTTCATGGATCGAACAGACTCGATCAGATAGTCAAAGTCATTGACGTATTCATCGGGGTCCTCCTGCACAGTCAGAGCTTCCTTTGTTTGCTGCACCAAGTATTCGTGCGTTGGGACTTGTCCAGGAATCCGAAAGTTGGCAGTAGCATACACGTCGACGATGAACGGATCGGCAGTTTCATCAATATAGACTTCAGTGAAAAGATGTTCTCCAGGAGTGTCCATGAAGACTTCATCCATTCGGTCTCCTAGGTATTGGCCAAGATACATCTCGAGTTCATCGTAATTTGATAGGTCATCAGCAGGATTGTAATCAGAAGTAGTGTGAAATTGGAGCGAGAACATTGGAAGATCTCTGGGTAGCGTTTCGTTCACTAAGTGTTGGATCAAGGATCACAAGAGAATGAAGTTTGAGAAAGACTCATTCGTTGCCTGAGTCATGAGTGAAGCTATCGTCGTACTTACCTGGTACAGCTGTAGGAACACTAGTAGCGTTGCTGGTAGTGATGTTGGCTGCGATTGCTGCTGCGGCCACGGCCTCTTGCTTATCCTTCGCCTTTTTGGCTACTTTCTTCACAGCTCCGAATAGGCCACCCTCGTGTTCAGCAACAATTTCGTATGGTTCCTTTCCTGAGGTTCCTTTCTTTAGTTTTCTTCGTCTGGTAATTCGTTCAGTCCTGTGCAAATCGGAAGCCCGCATTCCATTGCCTCGCAAAGCAGAAGCTTGTTCGACATTGCATACTGCGGCAGCAATCAATAGTAGGATGGCACTGCAAACCTTCATGGTTAAATCAAACTTGTTTCGTCGTTGGTTTGATCTCTTACTGATATGACGGAGATCGTTGAAAGCTCGTTTGTGCGTTGGAGATGAGTCGACTGCAGGTGCGCAAGATCACGTTTGTAGAAGAGGCAAGCGTATGCTCTTTGCTCTTCGATCGTAAATAAGGCGCACCTTCAGATCCGTTTTGCCAGAGCTGAACCTCGGCACGCGCTCTCGAGGTGCTCGTGCTGACGACGGAAGGACCAAACGAATTCTTCTCCGATCCTCCAAGTACGCAATAATTGCCGACATCATCATCGCATTACTGCACATATGTGAGATCAATAGAAGAGGTTTGCGACCGTGAATTCTTCCCTGTTCCTTTCTTCTTTTCTCAATCTGCAAGCGACAATGAGATCCATACAGCCCCTTTCGGGATTGGCGCTCTTCAGCTGCTTGATTTTACCTCATGGAACAGCCTTTTTTGTTCACAACTTCAATGGTTTGCGAATGCGAAATCTCATGCTTCCTACAACAAGGTACGCCAAAAGACATGAGTGCGTTCTCCCAATTGGTCTCTCGGAGCACTCATAGTTCGCATTTTCCTTAAGCCACGTACCATTGAAGCCATTAAGGATGGTAGCTGATCCACAAAACTACTACGGTGATTCAGAATCGTTCATGGTCAAGGAGTTCAGTCAGTACGAAGAGCTGGAGGAAATCGTTCAACTTGCTAGTCAGCCGATCCCTGAGCGACCTGATGGAATTGTCTGTGTGGTCAAATATACTTCTTCAAGTCGGCCGGAATGCCTACCAACAGAGGCAGAATACGAACGATTGGCACGGGAAAACCCAGCCACCATTTTCCTAAGGTGTTTTCAGGAATATGAGAGCGCTGATTTGTTGTTTGGTCAAGCGGACGTGCAAAACTTCCCAACTTTTGATATCTTTTATGGTGGAAATCGTGTAGCTAGAGTGGAAGGGTCCAGTATATCCGAAGTCCAAGACGTCTTGTCCATGTATCAGCTTCAAAATTCCAAGTTGGATCTCTTCTCAGAAGAAGCCAGCGAAAAGCGAGGGGCGCAGTGGGGCGACGGAAGTGCAAAAGATATGGCCAAAACACCAAGAACGACAGCTAGATTTGTCCCAGGATACGACTGGGGTTCTGAGAAGGGCTTCTTTGATGATCAAGGAGACAAGGCTCAACAGAGTTTCGAAGACAGTTATGGAAACTGGCTACCAAACATGGATGACGAGTAGGCCTCGCACATGCTAATGATGCTTATATCTTTGTAAAAGGGTCAAAGATACGCCTTTTAGAACTCGCTCAAAGGCGGCTCTAAACAAGTCTAACACCAGACCGCAGCCGTTTCGAAGCAATGCTACTCACCAAGCCGATAAGTTGAAACATAAGCACTTTTAGCCTCCTTATTGCAATAACTTTTTCGCGCATTCTGTCTGACAAATGGAATCACCAGCCCTTCAAGTTCCCTATATTCCTAGTCTTGGAACCTCAGCTCCAATAACAGCTCCAATAACAGTACCAAACTGAAAGACATCTCGAATCTCAGTCGGAGGAGTCAGTTAGTCCAATGAATTGGCGGGAATCCAAATTCAAAATGACTGATGAGTGAACAAGAGAACGAATGGCAAACGCGCTAATAGGTCCAAAACGCATTCTGTGACGTCACGTCGTAGATTGCACGCGTCTCCAGTACCAAGACGGGATGATAATACTACGGTCACAAACATTTTGAGATTTTGTGACCTCTTGGCGTCATCAGCGTCCATCAATGCGGATGATACCGGAAAAATCTTAAACAGGAAGCTTTGTTGCAGAGTGCAATGACCGTCTAGTTGAAAAGAAAGTAATAGGGAAAGAAGAATATAAGATAGCAACAGAATAAAAGCAATATCATAATTGCTGAGTCAACCCATGCTTCCAGTCATTTCAGCCATCATCAAGAACCAAACTTAGAGAAACTTTAGAAATGCCGGGGTTTAGTGGCCTTTCAGCATTGTATCAGGCAGCAACTGAGCAATTGGGTGGACTTCCTTCTCCTAGTGGAGGTAGAGGGAAAGTACTATCAAACATTGATGAGAATCCCGAGCCATATCTCGACGTGGAATCGACACAAGCCTTGATTCCAGATGATGACCGACCACCACTTTCGTTTACAGAGAAATTAATGACCCTCCTTCTCGATTCCACAAATAATGATATCATTACCTTTTTACCCGATGGAACTTACTTTGCGATGAGGACCAAAGAATTTTCTGAAGGTCCCTTGCACAGTGCGTTCCTATTGGATTCCTTTCAAGAGTTTCTGGAGCAAATGAAAGGTTGGGGATTTACACGAGTTTGTGGGAATGAAGATGAGTCTCGGACTGGTATTCAAGTATTCCGTCATCCAATGTTCCGAAGGGACAATCAAGAGGGCTTAGAGTCGATGAAATTCGGTCAGAACCCCACTGAGGCTCGTATGTCTGCCATACCAGACCGGTTGAATACCATTCATTTGGTAAGAAGCGAAGATTCGGGGTCAGCATCGGCATCGGCTTCTTCGTCATCCAAGCGAAGACTGTCACCTTCTCATACAGAAAGGGACATTGAAGACTCATATCAGAAGACGCAACGGGTCTTTGAGGGGGACAAGGTAGAGTCGGTGAATGAATTGTCAATTGTAAGGTCGTCGTCCTCAGGATATGACTCGGAGCATTCAGTCGCCCGTCGGCGGTCATCGACTGAAATCCGAAGCTATGCCTTGGCCATGGCGACAGCCGAATTGGATATGCAGTCGACTGGAGGTGATGACAATAGTGATCACGCCAGGTCTTTTTCCACGGGAGCAAAGGAAGGAAAGACAAATGCATCTCTGATCGAAGGAGGCGTGGAGCGAGCTACTCAGACGATTGTCACTGATGCTATCGAGACGCTTCTTTTCGACGAGGGACATACGAGACAAACTTTCAAGAAGCATGAAAAAGAACTCTCACGGTCATCCTTTCCAGGAGTGGTTCCGATAAGTAAGCAACTCTTCTCTCGAGCAGCTGAAGGTACTGGTACTGGGGCAACCCCTGGACATGCTGATGTGGATCAAGAAGACGACGCATCGTGCGAAAGCAAGGGACACGCCGAATGATACGTATGTTTCTTGCTGGCATCTGCTATACACAAGCACTATCCACTTGAAAGATTATGGATTCGTTCCATCACGATGGTTGAAGGTCAACCACATGTATATTATTATGCGTTGGATAGTGACTAAAGCGTACATAGAGTACAACCAACTCTACTTTATTGATGCGTAGTGCAGTCCGCTCATGAGTGTCTGGAATATAGTTACTCTTGTAGGACTTCGAATTCGAAATCTGGCACATCAGAAGTAAACCAGAACCACATGGATGGAGTACGGAAAAATTTCTTTAGCGTAAAGCGTGGGGCACTGATGAAGGGGAATAATTCTTGCGCAATGACATCCTTTTCAGGGGGTTCCTCTCTCGTTATCCGCCAGTATTCGCTCAAGAAATGAACTTGCCGCAAACCAACGACAACATCCAATGGTGGCGGCAACAACGCCCACCAAGCATGGAGGGGTTCCTCTCCGAGTTCTTCGACTTCCGAACAGAGTTCATTTACGCGGCGATAGAGATTCACTTGACCAAGCAAGATCCACAATGCGGCTGCCTCCACTATGGTGTCTCCTATTTCAATATCGAGGAGCTTCAACGGAAATCCAATAAGCACTCCAAAGACGAAAGGAAACAGGGTGCCATATCCTCCACATCCAGTCACTTTCCCTTCTGTTTGAAGCTCATATTGGAACAATTCCTCTTCGACACTGAACTTGTAGTAGCCATACCATCCCAATGCTGTTGGAACTGACCCAAGAATTGTCAGCCAGACGGGTCGAGGAATACCAGGGACTTCGGGGGCCGCAGTCAATTTGGAAAGTGGATCTCGATCAGCTGTCCCAGCTGGCTGTATTTGAACATAGTCTTTGACAGGCTGAATCACCAATTTCTTCCAGAATTCGTTGGTGCCTTGACAAAAGTCGTTGACAAAGTCAGCCTTTTCGTCAGATTTTGATCCTGCCGATCCCACAGCTGATGTTCTTGATTTGCATGATGACCGTGGCGACACAAAGCCATCAGCACGCTGGTTGATGGTTGCCACGATGGAAATGATAAACACTATCTTTTTCATTATGATTCCTCGTCTTGATGCTGGTTTTTCATCTTTTGTGGCCGCGTTCGCTCATCGTCATGCGATGGTTACAAAGTTTTCGGTTTTCGATTTTCATGCGTCAGAATGGCCGTCCAGTTGATTCGTTCGACTGATATTGTTTTCGGGATGTCTAATGCTGTATACTGTATTTTAACCAGGAACACTCCCGAAAAAGTGGTAAATCTGTAAAAATCGGCTGATTCAGAATTTCTTGAAGGCGCGGTATCGCTGTAGCAGTTGAAAATATTTATCGTTGAAATGAAATTATTAGAAGAAAAGACTAGTATTCCTTCGTATTTAAAGGCTTTTCTGCAGAGAATCAAAAATATATTTTTTCGGTGAAACTCTACCTCGAGCGAAGGCGCACCTGGCATTGTTTTCATTTATGTTCTCTGCGACTTAAATGCTAGCTCTATTAAAGGTCATAAATGTTTCGAAAATCTTTTAAATGACCGCGAATGTGGTAGCATGTGGTAGAGTGTGGTAAGAATGTGGTAAAATGTGGTAGAATGTGGTAGGAATGTGGTAGGATGTGGTAGGATGTGGTAGGATGTGGTAGGAATGTGGTAGGAAGTGGTAAGAATGTGGTAGAATGTGGTAGATTGTGGTAAAATGTGGTAAATTATCGGAAATCAAAGAAAAAAGACTCGAAAATTAAAACGAAATCATTTTTCTTTTAAAAAAATGGCAAATCACAGTTCATGTTCTCCCCCTTTCAACGCGGCACCTCGTGCAACTAGATGCATGTCCAAGTATGCGAGATAGGCAAGTGTTGACTTCCTTTTGATGTTATCAAATACCTTTCGGATAGCACGTCTTCGATTGCTTCCTGGTGCTCCAACAAACTCGAAATCATGATTCTTTTTCACAAAACTGATGAAGGAGAATTCGTATCTACTTTGACCGGATATCTCTATCTTCTGAAGCAATTTCTTCACATATTGCTCTTCTAACTTTGTATTCATCCCCCATTGTTGGATTTGTAGCAAGGTTCTGGATTTGTGGCAAGTTTTTCACTGTTTTCTTGCACCATTTCTTTGTAAATTAAATGGGACAATATTTGATTGAAAAAAGAAGATTATTATCTCGAAATGTCGAAAAAATGCGCAAACATTTTGTTGGTAGACTGTGGTAAAATGTGGTAGGAATGTGGTAGGATGTGGTAGGAATGTGGTAGAATGTGGTAAAATGTGGTAGAATGTGGTAGGAATGTGGTAGGATGTGGTAGAATGTGGTAGGAATGTGGTAGGAATGTGGTAGAATGTGGTAGAGCGGTCACTTAAGACATTCGAACCCTATATATTGGATAGGACAAACATTTGTGTGTCGCAGAGAGTCTCTTTTTTAAGCAAATTGCAAAATACTACGATTTCCAGTGCAAAGTTTTACCGAAAAAATTATAGTCGTTGATTCTCTGCAGAAATGCCTATAAATACGAAGGAATACCAATCTTTTCTTCTAATAGTTTCATTTCAACGATAAATATTTTCAACTGCCACTACGATACCGCGCCTTCAAGAAATTCTGAATCAGCCCGTTTTTACAGATTTACCACTTTTTCGGGAGTGTTCCAGGTACCAGCACCTCTGATACCGGTGCTTTTATTACCAGGTGATGTTCCCGAAAGGATGCTGCAGAAACTTGGTTAAGTTTGAAAAGGCTTCGTAGATACGACGTTTTGACGCTACTGCCATCTGAACTTGATCCATCGTTTTGGAATTCTTCTTTCTCGTCCAACCGGTTCAGCATGAACTGCGATGGTATCCAGTGGAATCACTGAACATTTTAATGGCGGCACTTAAGGATGATGAAAATTAAGATGTAAGATGAAAATTAATTATTATGTTCAAAAATGTACAATATTAGGCTGCAAAGTGGATGCAAAAATGGCTTAAAGCAGAGCATTCAGAGACATGTCCGAAATGTAACAGTCTTGGAGCTGTTGTGAAAGTGATGAAGAACTGATAGAAATTCTGATGTTTTCCATCTTCTGATCTTCTTCGAGAGCAGCCTCATCTTGAAAGTTTTTGCAATCTTCGAAAATGGATCGAAGACTTCTGAAGTATTTGGTGCAATTGTCCATGACATCCTTTTCAAGCCAAACGTCGCACATGGCATCGACGAAGTGATTTTCGAGCATGTCAAAGTGCTTGGCACGGAATCCTTGTTGGAACATCATGTGATGTCTCAAAATCAACTTGCCTCTGAAAGATTCAGCTTCCTCAGGTGAAACATCAAGGATGGCTGACAAGATCATGTTCTTTTGGAGCTCAACGAGACTCTTCATTTCAAGCCCACCGTAGAAAAGCTTCAAGGATTTGTCCTTTTGAATCTTCTCACAGAAAGAGATGACAAGAAAGTTGAACTGGCTTTCACCGCCAATGTTTTCAATGAGGTTGTCCTTGAATTTCTTGCCACCAGTAGAGATGGTGGAACCGACGGAAGTGACAGAAGATCTCTTTTCGTAAACCATGATGATGTGTTTTGGTTAGGCTTTTGTTTTGAGGATTTGATGGTTTGTGAGAAGGTTGGATCAAGATCGGAGATTTGGTTGTTTTTGAGCGAATCTGGGTCTTGGACGTTTTCGACTTTTTTTCTCCTTTTTGCCGCTCCTGTACCTGGTGTTTTCATTTAACAATATTGCCGCAACCAGGCTTTTGAAATCCCCTCATTTAACGATGGCGAACAGTGCATGTGTGCTTCGAGAATTTGTTCAAACTTCCTCCCAAAGCGAACTGGGAAGAAGTCGACCAGAAGTGTTGTTTCTTATAAAAGAAATAAAATACTGCATGTGAGATTATGCCGACGATCAGAAGAAAACCACCGATTTGCTGGCACGATTATTTATCATTGCGGTTAGATAACGAGTTGTGCTAAAATCTCGGTGAAATAGATTTTGCGTTAGTTGATATAATACTCGAAGTGGCTTCGATCACGTCACAGAAATGTCAGTCTTAAGAGTGCAGATATTGCTTTTTATAAGGAATGACTGCTGGTCTAGTTCGTTTAGGTTAAGTTTTACCTGGTAGCGATCCCAACCAGATATGTTTTATTTGTGAAAGACATTTTGTTAAAGCGATATGTGACTGACGTCGCCCAATGAAACGCCCACATTGTACCGGTACCTCCAATACCGCGTAATTTTATGGTACATTGATGACTTCGTTTCGCAATTTCACACCCACCTTTTTATTTTATATTCACCGACTACAGGCATTGATGCGTTCTCTTCACTACCGGTACAGTATGTATTGTTGAAAAATGCTCGTAGTCTTTGGTCATTATGACACCATTCCATCCGCATCGAAAAGAGAACCGATTTCTTGGTAGTGCTGTATTGTACCTGTAGTGGAAGAATGATGCTGCGTTGGCCTTCACTACTCCTTCCACGGTACCACCGTATGATGTCAAGAGTGCCAAGTGAACCAGATGCAACCATGATATGCGTCTGTGTTGAACGAGGGGCGGCACCCTTGTACCTTTCATAGTAATATTGAAAGTAGACATGGCCCGAATGCATCCTCATATGGAACCACCATTTGCGGATTACTGCTGTGTGTAAATGGGTTCAGCTTTACAGTTAATGTAATGTTATGCTACGCTACCTGCGTAAACCTAAAAAGTTGTCAAATGATGATAAATTGCAATCACACTATCCAGCCGCTGTTCAAGGTGGTGTCAGAAATCTGCACATAGTCCTGATTGGTCACCGATACAAATCGGAAAAAAGCCTTGACCAGATTTGCAAGATCCCTTCCTTACATACTCTAATGGAATTTCTTGGTCCTCCATGATATATTCCATTCGAAAACCTGCGTCTGCAAATTTGGGTTCGAACTCTTTCACAATCGCTGGCATTTCCGGATGAAAGGATTGCTTGGCAACCATGGCTTGAGTAATTGAAAGCATTCCATAGTAAAAATAAATGGAACCGAGAAAGACGGCAATTACAATTCCCAAATAGAACAAAGCCCCAAGCTCAGCAGTGTCTCCTCCTATGGCGCTGTAGTACATGGTAAGCCCAACGATTGCAGTCACGAGTACAAAGACCGAAAGAACCTTAACTCCTGATCTCCAGCAGACTTGACCATGAAAGTACTTCGTGCGAGCACTTCCGCAGGCTTCTGTAAGCAGGCCCCAAAGGAACAAATCCACGGATGACTTCATCGAAGCTGGGACACCATCAAGCAATGACGGAGCCTTAGGGTGAAAAAAGCTGGAGAGATATGGTGCCGCATTTAAGGAAGATGCGCAAACCCATACTTCGCCGTCTTCTACATTTGGAAACCCTATAGTTGCAGCATTTGCATCTTTCCCATCGCTGCTGCTGGAAGGTGCGACAGGTGTGAGCTTGAAGAATGCAACAGCTTTTAATGGAGAATCAAAGCTTTCTGTCACAAACTCCAATTGCCGGCCTCGAGTTCTGAACCCTGCATCCAATTCTCTAGCCGCGTGTTCATATCGCTCCTTAGATCGTGGAAGGATCACAAATCTCTCGTAAAGGATGATCCACACAAATACAATCAATATCATGATGATATTGGCCAGATGGGAGTTGCTGCGATTGTAGGCAACATGATGGGATATCATGAACCACAGAACGGCAACAAGGAAGGCACACATGAAAAGTATGGATGACATAAGAGTTCCAAAAGACTCCTTATATGTCGTCCGTCTCACAGCATTGGCAGAAAATCGCAATGCTGCTTTGAGGGTTTCCTCCAACTCGACTTTGGCCAGAGGATCGGGAACCTGATGCTGGACCTGGTAAATGTTGATCTTTGCATCGATCTTCTCGCTGCGGCCCCATCCTTTGTAGACGCTGAGCTTGATTTGCTTTGGATCTTCCATTGCACTGCAATATCTTTGTCTTGAATGAATGAATGAAGATCAATCAACTGTTGGCGATGTATAATAATACAAGGGCAACGAGCATGAAGAGATAAAAATTGACCATTTTCAACTGGCAATTATCTTGATCGACTCAAGCCTTGACGCATGCCTCGACTAGGCGTCCCCAGAGAAAGGTACCCACAGATGGTCTCATTTGCGAAGGGCACACCATCGAGAATGGTTGGAAATCCAGAGCCAAAACAGCACCAATATCATCCATTCGCATTCATAGGTCGGATGTACATACCCATACATCATCGTCGTCGTCAGCCTTTGCATTCGATGGCGATGGCGCCGCAGAAATGGACTTTAGTACAGCATGCGTCTTGTTATTGTGACATATCGGGATGGATATAAGCTTAAAGAATGCCGCGGCACCCGTTGGGGATGACCAGTTGCTGGTATGGAACTCGAGTTTCCGGCCTTTGGACCGAAAACATATCTCCAGTTCGTACCAAGAACTGCATAGAACTCGTTTGACCGAGGTAATAATTTATCTTTCAAATAGTGATACTGACAAGATGCGAGCTTGCTGATTATCACAATCGCTTCCTTTTGATTTGCATAGCGCTCTTTTTCACCATTCGTCAAATAGCCGTGTCCAACACAGAGCCAGTGTGCCAATCGTGGCCACGGTCCATATACATATATTGTTTTCAGACGATTGCAAAAAGTTGTTGATTTTTTGATTTGGGACCTCGCTCATACAGAATATTCTGATTGTACTTCACCATGCAAGCTTTCCGGTGACCTTATTCGATTGGTCGTGCTGGTCTCGGTCTTCTCTTCAAGTTCCTTTATCTCTGGTTGCTTCTCAAGATCGCCTGAGGGCAGTTCTGATAAGGTACCTTCTTGGCGTTGTGAAATGTCATGGTCATGATCATCTTCAGACCATACACTTTGGATCTGCTCGACGATGGACGACCCACTCTTCGTTGCATCGATATCCTCTTGCAAAGGCACACTACAATTATCATCTTCGGAACATGAACGTTTGGAATCATCTTGCACATGATCCTTCTCTCTTCCTTCTGCATCTGGCTCTTGGAATGGCATTCCAAAATCATCGTCTACAGAACATGCATCTTTGATTTTCTGAATGAGCGACGATTTTTTCTTGGGCAGAGGAGGAACAAGATGTTGCGGTTGATCACGCGATTTTTTCTTTGCCTGGAACATCCCACTAATATGTACAACACCTACATCGCCACTCCGGTCAGCAGAGGTGCAACGGCAACAGATGATACGGCCAAAGGTTTTGTTCCACGTTTCTTTGACAGCAACGCGGATGTCATACTTGAGCCAGATCATGTACAAGGTTGTAAGGGCCTGACAAGCTGCCAAGACTCCCAAAACGGTGTCCAATGCAAAGGCTCCACCTGAATACTCATCTTCCATGTTACTTCGCCTGTATGTCAATGTTGTGGCTGGAACATAGAAGACTATGAAGAGAATGATGACCCTCAAAAAGAACAAAGTCAGCACCCGCAGTCGTCCCCTCTTCGGAAGCAGCTTCTTAATCCACATTCGTACTGCTACGAGGAGAACAAACGACACAGGAACTGCCATTATGAGGAGAAAAATATAGGTGGCGACATCAAAGCTGTACCATCCATTTGGCCCACTACCAGTTCTACCTTTCCCTCTTCGATCATCTATAATATGATAGAGGGCAAATGGAAAAGGCAGCACCATCAAAGAGGCAATGCATGCTGAGAAAAAATAGACCCCGGCGATTTGCCTGCGAGTTCTCTGAAGCTTCAGAACTGGTATCCGTCTCCCGCGATGACAATGTTCCACGAGTTTGTTGATCTCAAAAGTCACAAAGACGTTGAGGTAGAAGTTGCATACGTAATAGAACATCCAGAAGAACAAGTCGAGATAGTGAAAGCCCGGCGGATACCAGTGAACTCCATGGTTCAAAGCGAGGAATACGTTTGTCAGCACTCTGAATAAGGTATTGATGCCGTCTGGGAAAATCATGAAGACCACGTAAAGATTGTAGGAATTGTTGCGAATGGTTGGTTTGGAAAGCATGGCGGCGATGAAGAAGAAGCATGCAAACGAAGCCACTAAATTGATTAGAGCCTTGCCATAGAGAATAGCGACGAATGCAGTCGACAATGGCTGAACATCTTCATCCACATCGCCAGCATCTTCATCTTCCATGCTGCTATACCTATTGTTCTTGTTTTTGTGTTTTATTGCGGGCTCTATGATGTCAGTATATATATCCGCGGTATTCGATTCCGCGAACGGCATATATATTTTTGAAGTTCACGACTACATGCCAAGTACACGTACACGTACACGTGTACACGTAGTTGTGAATTTTCTCGATTTTAATCAACCAATAGAATCGCAGTATATATTTTAAAACCATGTTTTCAGTTTGATGGTACCGGTACATTAATGTCAGTTGTATTGCTGAGAACAACTACCAGTACGAGTACATGGCTCTTCAATCCTTCAGGCTATGTTTTGTTCCTTACCGGTACAGCATGTAAATGGCGAACAACAAAGATGGCCGAAATCGGGAAATTGATATGATGATGACGAAAGAGCTGCCATGATTGTTTTTCCTCATATTGCACGGATTGAATATTGAATATAAGCCACAAGAACCGAGCCATCAAAGGAGAAAGTACGGAAATGAATAGGCGGGTAATGGTGGCGGAAACATTTTTGTCGCAGTCAAAATCCAAGTCGTACTGAGAGCTTATTCATATGCTCAATAGTAAATTTTGAAAAATGCTACCTATATAAAATGGATGGAGTGAGTGAGTCGTCCATTCCACTGAACTTCATTCTTGATCACAATTTTTAGGCTAATGAGCACAATAGCGCGTACCAGGTACGCTACAAGAAGATGTCCTTGTTATGAGTACATTTGTGTCAACAGTCATAATCGTCAGACAACTGACCCACATTATCCTCGCTCTAACTACACTTGAAGGAGTAAAACAGACTGACCAAAATATTGACTGATTTTGAATACAATAATTCAATCATTAGATGCCAAAATCTTGATAGACACGCTTTCCCTTCAGATACGTCTTGTTGGAATTGCGCTTACGGAAGGCTCCTCGTTGGCGACCCTTCTTCTTTTGAATTTCCAGCTGTTGCTTAACTCGCTGACGTGCCTTTTCCTCCAATTGCTCTCTAGACAAGTTTGCCAATTCCCCATCCAAAAAGGCAGATCGATTAGTCATGACCGATCGATCTTCTGCCGACTCTAGTGAATAGTCATCATCATCGTCACTGGCATCCTTTTCTCCAATTGGATCAGCAGGTGCGTCATCCTCTCCTTCATCATTTTCTCCCTCCTTTTCTTCGTCGATTGCATCGTTTTCAGCTGCCGCCCCCTTTTTTGATTCGCTGTAATAATAGTACAATTCCATGTCTCGGTTCGAGTCCTCTTGAGAGTATCCACTAGCCTTGAGTTGTTGATCCAGTCGTAGTTGTGACCTGCTGGCTAGACAGATGCTGCTGTCGGTAGTATCCACCACAGCTTGACTTTCATTGTCCTCATCATTCTCTTCATCAACAAGTTCATCCACTTTTTGATTTTCAGCTTGTTCCTTCATTACTTTTTGAACGGCGTCCCAACTCAAAAACAGACTCCCTTCGTCCGATTTTGGAATTCGAAAGTGAAGCTTGTGCGTGAAGAATTTGTATAGACATGCTGTATCACGTTCGTAAAGTTCCTCGGCATTCGGATGTTGTGTGCTGACCATTTGTGGAAAATCAATCAATGTCACGATCGGCTTTGGTTCACCACTGTCCAATAGTAAAACGGGTTCGGGTGGCTTGTCGTCCGAATTGAGGGATCCAGCATCAGGGGCATGTTGTTGCAAATGTTCTGGCTCCCAAGGTCCACGGGCGCTCAGCATACCGGGTGCCGTTTCTGCTGCTACAGATAGACCGGAATGTCGCACATATGGATCGTGTTCTTGCGACAAGGCCTTCTGCTGAATTCCAGACAGATCTACCAAGAGATTGAATTCGTTCAAATCACAATGGACCAGACCATGCTTGGCTAGTCGAAGGGCCAAATCGCTAGCTTGGTGAAAGATAGAAGCCGCTTGTTCGGCAGAAAGGTTACGGGATGTCACCTGATACAACGGCACACCTCGGACCAAACTCATGACGACGATGTGTCGGTTATGTGCAATTGGCTGAGGTGTAGGATAATCGACATTGTACAAGGCTTTCATAAAGGCATATTCCTTCAATGCAGACTTTCGACTGAGAAAGAGCCATGAGCTGGATGAATTGGCGGCCGGTTGGTTTCCTCCTTTGCCTCGTTGATTGTACACGAAATAATCTCTCTTATTTTTGACATTTCGAAAGGAAGTTCTACCAAGCCGATGGAATTTCAACACAATTTGATTTCCATTCGGATGAACGGCTAAATAAATGTCAGATTCCTTTCCAGTTCCAATCCGATCCCCAATAGCTGCAATCAGCTTTCGTGATTTCAAATGATGTAATGCCAGAATATCATATCCCGCATTGGTCAAACGATATCCGTCGTAACCACAAGACTTGTCATGAGACAGCAATTTATCTCTAAGAAGGGAAGAAATAATCTTGCCCGTTCCTCCATGTCTCAAGCTTGCCAAACTGGAAATCAGAGGGGCGGGAACCAGCGAATGCCGTTGCATTCCTTTTTCAACAGCTTCTAAAACTCGAAAGTCTTGGCCACTCATGGTCCTCATTACAGTAGGATCCAATTTCATCTTGTTGGCCTTTTTGTTCTGTCTTTCTTGTTATCTTGCGCGTATGAAAGGGATGGGTAGGAGTTGATGACGCTGATGATGACGCTGATGATGACGACGACAGCAACGTTGTCTTATTTTTATTCTTTTTGGTTTTGGTTGGTATGAGATTCATGACAGCTCATAACCTAATTTTAGTCACAGTAGTCGGTCGAAACCAACGAATATAAAAATAAAATAATCCTGGAAATAGGTAATAGTTGATAGTGATGATGAAGCTCGTTTGCGTCCATTCCATTATGGAGGCCTGGTACCATACCTTCAAACCTTAGCACTATAAATAAATGACCCAATACTACCACCGGCTTCGATTGATTTCGTTCTGAAAGTCCAGGTAAGTCGTTCCGGCGAGACGACAAGAGACAGCGAGGAGCTGCTGCAAACGGTCACGGAGAGAACAATTGAAAACCTGCCGAAAACATGCTCAAACTTTCGCTGATTTAGTCTTGGCCGTTTCTAAACTGATTTCTTCAAATTCACTTTTTTCACACTCCAAGTGCTCACAAAATCAAAGCAGAGGCTTTATTTTGTCACGAGAGCTACTCCAAAGGAGAGCTACTCGAATGTTCATTCGACCGCTACCGTGCTTCGATTGCAGTAAGACAGGCCTTATGGGGTTTGCATGCAAGAGTACTACTGCGACACCAACTCTTGGAGTATTTGGCTGAGAGTTTTGGCGTGCAGTAGGTGAGTGCGTAAGTCGTTTTGAACCCAATACACAACACACATACTTCTTTGGCTGGGGGAACCCCGTAAGCGATATCCCAAAGAGAGAGAATTATTTTCTGGCTCTCCGGTCCTGCTTCAGCTCCACGTGGGAGCTGTCGTTTGATTTGACTGTGCATGATGTGAAGGGAATAAGGCACATACATACAAAAGTATGATGTGCAAACTTTCCTTGAACGACACTGATCGTTCTAAAGAGAGAGCAACCCCATGAAGATGGCGGTGCTTCTCAAATCCAGAACACATACTTCTTTGGCTGGGGGAACCCCGTAAGCGATATCCCAAAGAGAGAGCATAACTGGCATTGAGCTATCTCTCCGGTCCGCTTCAGCTCCACGTGGGAGCTGTCGTTTGTTTTGACTGTGTATGTGAAAAACGGCAAACATACTGGCCTCAACAAGTGTGTGCAAACGTTCCCTGAAAGATGCTGATCCTTAAAAGAGTGCCACCGGTGATGGGGCCTCTGCTACAACGAGTATATGAAAGTATAGTTGGAGTGTGACTGGAGCATCTGGGAAGTTTGCGTCAATAGCCTGTACGCATAACGTTCTGTGAACGATGCGGAAAAGAGAGCAACCGCATATGACGGTGCCTCTGCTGCAACACGAATATGAAATTTTAGTTGTAGTTGGCAAATTCATATACACAACAATCAATCATATACCGGAATGAGGAAGGATGCAAATTTAGATGGAAACATGAATTGGAATACTTTCACTCAACACCGTATAATAGGTAGGCATCGTCATTAGTCAGGTCGGAGGGACTTTGTTATGCTCGCAATGTACAAATACTGTACCGGCATCGCATTTAATCGCTATGAGACCGGCTTGATGCAAGGCTTACGATTCAATTGCATAGGTAGATAGAATATATAGGCAGATATATTTCAATACTTGATATCATTCAGCATCGTCGAAGATCATTTCCAAGGGTAAATGGATTATGATCGTAGGATCGTAGGATATCGATATCAATTTCATTATATTCTGTGTTCCATTCTTGAGTTTCTAAATATTCAACACAACATCTTCTTGCCCAACCATTACGATCTGTTGACAAGAGCTTCGCCATACAAAAAATCGTACACAATCTGGTGACGAAAGCGATCATAATCACCAGACAGTGGATGTGCTTGTTCCACCTTTTCCAATACCAATGGCCAAAGCCCCAGTGGGACATCGGAACGATGCATCAAGTACCGTCCAGATGCATTCCACCAAGAAGCGTGCTGTACACTTATTGCCACGTCTGAGGAATGACAAGCTTGATAATAGCGAACCTCGGGATGTTTGAAAAGAAATCCTCGAAGGAGTGTCTCTTGTCGTTCTTTTTGCAGACCATCGACTACAACGAAGCTAGCAGTCACCATCCGTCCAACAACTCGTTGGGCCACGGCTCCCTCAGCCTGTGCTTCCACAATGTCTTCCTCGGTGATTTTTTGGGATAAGCTTACCTCACTGAGTTTAGGATGCGATTTCCAAGTGCGCAATAAGTTGGTCAAAGGCCGAGGACTAGACAATGGGTTTCGTATTATCAAAGTCTCAAGCGACTTGTTGTTGGCCAAGCCTTCCAGGATGTCGTCGATATTTAGAGTCGGCTTTCCGTGGAAGGAATTCAATTCGAAGTTTTTCAAAACAGTCGTACTCGAGAGTAGTGATCTAATGGCATCGGATAGATCCAAAGTAAGTTCACATCTCACTTTCAAGGTTTCCAACTTTGGATGGTGCTCCAAGGATTTGAAAAGGCTGGCAACAGACTCGTCTTCCCTGCAAGAAAAACTGTCCAAGCACAAATCAAGAGTTGAAAGACTGGTATTCGATGTCAGTCCTTCGCAAAGAAGAGGATGCTCCAAATTACGACAATAAAGTTTCAAGCAATCTAGATTGCACGAGGGTTGGTTCAACAACCTGTTCAAGGATTTCAAGTCTCCAGTCGACAAGCTTTGATTTCCTCCCATGGTCAATGATCGTAGTCGTTGGTTTCGTTCGATGGATGGTAGCAAATGAGAAATGCCTGTAGTCCTTGGTGGTTCTGAATCGTTATGACTCGAGATGTCTAAATCAATGATTTCAAACAGGCTTGCCCGATTGGCAATGTCCAATGCTTGCCTCAGTTGGGAAATATCAAACTCGCCACTGCGCCATCCTTCCATATGTTGAACTCGTAGAATCTTCCATTTTGGGAGAGAAGAAGAATCATTCGACACGACTTCCAAACTTTCAAAGACTTGGATGACAGCTGGCAAGAGCTGGCGGTTGAGAACCTGAGACAGTTTAAGGACTACCTTGAGATTCTGGATGTTGGCCACGGTCACCAGTTCCAGCATCTCTTCAACGTGTTGATCCGAGCTACCACGATTGCCTTTCAATAGGAAGAAAAATTCTTCATCAAGTTCGTCGTCCGGCTGTTGAATCATTGTCATAATGATCTGATAATGGAAGTAGAAAGATTTTACTGCCAGCAACAGGCACCTCTTGAAACACTAGAATAGCCTGGTGGTACTATCTCACAGTTCGACTGCGGTGATGATCACATGTATGATCAATAGTTGGCCGTAGCGTACGGTACCCGTATGATGCCAATAATGGAGAGATGATGCTGATGATAATATAATGCCCTATGCGCTAATAATAAAAACGACTACTTTGACCGCATCATGGCCAAGTATAAAACATGAGGATTTTTGATTGATTGCGATTCACTACATAGTACTGTACATACAGTAAGTTACAACAGTACATCGAAACGGACCAATGTACAAAAAATAAAATATTACCCTGATAAATCACACAGACAACTTGTCACTTGCTTTTATGCAGCTTGGATTGACAATTCTCTTCCAACATCCGCTTTCCCCTATATATTCCTTGTTGGACCCTTGTTCGCATAAAATAGTGCCAGACTTGTTTTCTAAAATAAGCTCAATAAGCACTCAAAATGATCCATTTCGCCAGGACTACGTGCATACACCCGGCAAACTGCTTGTATCGTTGAAAAGGTTTCCTTCTGGAAGTTGATGGAAAACAGTATAGTAAAAATGTGAGTTTCATTCGAAGGCAGTAGCGTAGACACAAAAACGAAGCAATCGACTCAATTTCAACAACGTTTCGTACCTGATATTCGACACCGATCTACCAGTAGGTTCGATAGCTGGTTCATTTCGGAAGGAATGTTCCCTGAGAGTTCATTGTCATACAAAGTTAGCGTCGTCAAGCCAGTGAGACTACCGATCAAAGGCGGTATTGATCCCGTCAACGTATTTTGGTCTGGGTTGGTGTGCAATAGTTGGAGGTTAGAAATGACGGATATGGCATGCAGCCAACACTTTAGTGATTTTGAAAAGCTTACCACAGGATAGCTCGACCAAATTTGTGAGCATTCCCATCCCCAAGGGTATTGCACCAGACAGATTATTGTGATCTTAAAAAAAAAAAAGCAGTGCCAGCAAAGCGTGAGACGATGACATTGCAAGCGAGCTGATAATAGTGGATAGTGGCGCATGTATAATACTTACTCAAGAATAATACCGTCAAGCTCGTCAATTGCTGAATCTCGGTAGGGATGGACCCGGTCAGAGAATTGCCATCTGAAAGAAGGATGAAAGAAAAGGGTTGAGCAAGAACCATGATCCCATGATCTGTTTTGGAGGAGCCTGAGTACTTACTGATGCGCAGACGTGTTGCGGATGTAAGCATGCCGATTTCCGATGGAATTGTTCCAGATAGCTTGTTATCACCTGCAAATGAATAGCAATAATGGGAGAGACCAATAGCGTTAGCAACACATCAATCCAAAAAGTCCGAGTCATTCGAATCCACTTTCACCAGGCTCTGGTCTGGAGCCATTGTTCATTATGGCACTGTACAGTATTACGCTGTCTGCAATAACTTACTCAAGCGCACTGCTATCAACTCAGTTAGTTGACCAATCTCCGAAGGAATGGGCCCCGAGAAGTTGTTATTGGCTGTGATGGTCAATGGTCAATGGTCAATGGTCAATGGTCAATGGTCAATGGTCAATGGTCAATGGTTATAAGTCAAAAGAGGACAGTCAGCCAAAATGGAGAACGATGAGTGTCAGTCAGCATCGAAACCAAATTCATCAAAATGCAAAATCTGAAACAATGAACCAGTAACTTACGCAAACTCAGTCTTGTCAATGACGAGAGCTCTCCAATTTCGGAAGGAATTTGTCCAGTCAGACGGTTTCCAGCTGTTGGTAGTAGCAAATGTGAAAATGATCAAAAGGTGAGAGCGGAACAAGCTGTCAATTAAAGAGAGTAGTATCATTCATTCATTCTCATTCATTCATGAATCCGATCCATTTCAAACTTCAAACGTACCAAAGAATACAGCCTTTAAAGATGTGAGCTTGCCAATCTCCGTGGGGATTCGTCCAGTTAGTGCATTTTGGACTGTCGAAAGCAGGAATGAGATGAGACACTAATCGTTTTCATCGCACACATATAACCACAGTAGCAATAGATAGCAACAATTTGGCAAACTTACATAGATTCAAATACGTCAAGTGCGTGAGGAGCCCAATCTCGGAGGGCATGTGCCCAGTCAATTCATCATAATCCAAATAGACTCTAGTCAAAATACCGTCGCCATCGCAATCCAATCCAGACCATTCGCACGCAGATTCACTGGAACTTAACCAGGTTTGAAATCTTGAGGTTCCATTGTCGGTTTGATTGACCACGTCCCCGACAAAGACATTTTCATAAAAGACAATGGCCAAGACGTATCGGGACATCCACGTGTAGGCCGTTTCCATGGTCAAAGCAGTATTCTTCCAGGTATCCAATTCGGCCAACCAATAAAAGGCTTGCGGATGCAACATGAATTTTTGGTCCGATGTCAAGGATTGCAAATCGCTGCCCAGAATGGATTTCAACGAGGTGGCCCGCGTGGGAACAATCTGAACGATGGACATGGTTTCGAGCAAATCGGTCAAACTGAGTCTCGTGAGAAGTGGCGTGAGGCCTTCCTCCAGGTTCAACATTTTGTTTATTCTGGTGGTCATCCAATCGTTGTCTTCGTATCCTTTCAATAAGCAATGAATCGTCAAAATGACCCGCTGTACCAGAATGTCTTCGTCTTCGTTAGCGTTTTCATCCTTTAAATTAGTATTCGTAGGAGTAGGTGAGGAATGTACCACAGTGGCATTGGAAATGGCATAGGCCGATCGGTCTCCCATGTTGGCAATCTGTGCCGCAAATTCGTTATTGCTGTTTGTGTTGCTGCTGCTGCTGCTGCATCCCAATAGCAATGGCACTAGATAACGATTCATGGCGGTGGTAATGTCTTGGATCCAAACGACTTGTTGTTCTTGTTGTCGTTGTTGTTCCTCTTCCGGTGTCGTAGTAATAGTAGCATCAGCGGAAAGTAGTTTGACATCGAGTACCAATTCAATCGACCGTTGCAAGGCATTGTTGCGGTGAGATTGCCACCACGAAGACGAAGATGAAGACGAGGAAGACGAGTCTTCTTCCTCCAGTGCCTGGCACTCTTCGTCCAAAGGTGCGTCATAGAGAAGGAAATCAGACGGACTCGTCGTGGGACGGTCCGTAGGCTTGGGCAAGAGAGTCGTAAAGTTTCCTTCCATGGGAAGGGGAGAAGGAGCCAAGGTATTATTGTTGCCGTTAGTGATATCGCCGCCGTCGCTAAAGTTTCCACTCCAATTGCCACCCCTGTAGTTGCTGTTATTGTTGTTGGTGGTCCCAGCAGCGTCACCACCGCCCACCGACGCCGATATGACAGCGGAAATGACTACCACAACGACAAAAATATCAATGGAAATTTCAATGTTCTTGCGCATGGCTGATTTGCAATCCACTTCTTCATCCATGTCATTTACGGCAATGGGAAGATTGCGTCTCTCTCGCATCCGCATGGTTGTGTTGTGGTTGTGGTTGTGGTTGTATGTATGTATGTATATTGTTGTTGCTGTTGCTACGTTGTTGCTACGTTGTTGCTACGTTGCTGCTACGTTGTATGTATTGCTGTTCGTGTTCTTCTCCTTTTTCTAACTGATTGATTCACTGCTGCTAATCTAATCAATCAGCACTCTTCTTGCTCCTGCTTCGCTCTTCAGTTAATAAAATCTTCAAAATAGCAACAGCTTTGATTCTCGTGGGCTGTTGGATGCTGCTGCTTCACACGGCTTTTGGCAAGAAACGAGAGCACACGATAGAGGTGCCGCTTCAATAAAAGGAAGCAGTTTATTATGTATATTGAATATTTCCAATACCGCAATAATAATCGTCCTATCGTTCGTGGTCACCTCGCAAGTGGGTTCCGAGCAGGCGACGGACTTTTATTTTATTTTTATTTAGGTTGGAATACCTCGAATCAATCCAAGAGGTCATGCGCGCGCGTGTATGACGAAAGAAACGTCTTTCGAATGCACGTGTTTAGCAAAAAAAGTCGCAAAATACTCCTGAACCGCTGGCAGGCAAAAGGTACTGGAGTAGACGAATAATAGCTAGATCATAAAATAGGCTAAAACTTTTAGGCATGAATTAGTCTCGAATGCGGCTTTTACCGCGGTCGTGCAATGATATATAAAATAAAAACAACGAAATCTATTATAAATTATCAGTTCATAATAATCAGCCTTCATGTAGCTTGCAATCTGCAGAGTTTGGTGTCTGTGCGAAAAAGACGGTGTGTCCAAGAGCACTTTACGACGACCTGAATCAATCAATCAATCAATCAATCAATCAATCAATCAATCAATCAATCAATCAATCAATCCTTCACCACCACAAGTATGGTTCAGTTTGGATTCCATGACATCCATGGCAAGCTGGTTCGCAAGTATGATGCCAGTGAAGACCTTTCCCTTTCTAGCGAAATAAATGCAATCAAGGTCTACGGTCGAATTGATTTCACCTTGAATAGCTACAAGCAATTCACATCGATGCTGAGAAGATCTTCCAATAAGTTCAACAAAATTACCTTAGCAGACATCCCGGAGGATCAGTCGCCTGAATTTCTGGCATTCTTGGTGCTCATTTCCAACAAAGCCAAAAGTCTAGAGTTCACAGGCAACTGCCAACTTACAAGGTACTCAACTACCTGTTTGATGTCCACCTTGCTTCAATGGAACGGGATTCAAGAACTGGTACTCGATGGACAGATTCCAATGACCACTGCCAAAGCGAAGTTACTATTCGAAGGTGTGGCTTCTTCTCCATGCCTGGAGGTTCTAAGCTTGCACCGGCAGTTTGATGACCAACAAGTTGCTGGTGATCTTTTGATTCGTGCATTGAGTCAAAATCGTAGCTTGGAGCGCCTTGATATGACCCTTTTGCCTTCTGTGGAACGCCCGGGTTTTTTTTCCAAGATTTTGGAATGCTGCGATTCTAAAGACAAAATTGAAGCATCTTTCCTTACGCGCATATCGATACCAACTGCCACTAGAAGTCATGAAGGATGTTCTTTGCTATAGCGACGACTGTGAACTCGAGGGG